TGTTAATATAATAATACCAACCAAATTTATAATCTACATGTACCAAGCAGTAAATTTCAGGTATCTGCCATCACTGCAGTTGATCTGCTACACTGGCGCCGGTAATACGGTGTGCTTAAGGCATATCCAAAAAAAACACTGTTAATCGTAGAACAATATATGTACCAAAACAAACATACTCAATTTTAATAGATTGCGCTAACCATAGTTAACTATTCCTAGATTTGCAACCAAAATTTTCTTTTCCAAAAACAAGATTAGGTTCATTCCTCACCACAGTCGCCGTGTTGGTCTTTTTTTTCAAGCTTCAAATTAGTCACAGAGAACGTTAAATTTCTACGCTTCTTTACTATTTTTTCAAGGACCAGTATCACCTTCAAGGTTATTCTAACATTATGCAATTCTTGTGAGAAGCTTAAAACCGTTTATTATTCTGAGCCGATGTGGCGTTGCCATAGGTATTTTAGGCATACTTATAATGACTAAACGACATTAGATAAAAGACATTTTACGATTAAATATATTTTAAAACATTGACCTTTTTGTTTTTGTCACTTGTTGTGTGTGTTTTTGTGGGTATTTTTTTTCCAGTAAATGAAAAAGTAGGATCAAAGGTCACTATGTTTGTTTTTGACAACAGGTAAAGGTCTTAACATCGAACAAGTGTCTGCTTGGCAAATCCTAGTAGTTCAGAAATTAATTTTACGAATGGTAAATTTAAGTTTTCACAACAACATCCAATGTTCATTTCAAATCAAACAATGAAGTTTTAACAGAAATATCCTATGTCCCTCGCAAGTACAGTAATTAAGTTTTCACAACAACATTCTATGTCTTACGCAAATCAAATAAAGAAAAACCATCATCTGTCCCACGCAAATCAAATACAGAAATTTAATTTTAACACCAATATCATATGTCCCACGCAAGTACGGAAATTAAGCTTTCACATCAAAATCCTATGTTTTACGTAAATCAAATACAGAAATTAACTTTTCACAAAAACATCATCTGTCCCACGCAAATCAAAATTAGGTATCAAGTTGTTTTAACAACAAACATCCTATGTCTTACGCAAATCAAATTGATACAGAAATTAACTTTTCACAAAAACATCTGTCCCATGCAAATCAAAAACAAAATTATTTTTTAAAAAAATTCTATAAATGTGAAAAAATTTTAAAAAAACGATAGGGCTTTTTTTGTCGCAAAACCAATGTTATGTTTTGACGAAAGATGGGACCGTTGCAAATTTTTTATGGCTTTCTTTTCAAAAGATTTCTAACAATGTTTTTTAAATAACTATTTTTGAAGCAGTCTGTCGTACCCTTTTAAAACAGTTTAAATATTTTTTTAAAAATTAAACAATAAAACTTTAAACAGAAAAGAATTTCAATAAATGTGCTGTTAAAAAGCTTCCTTTAAACCCATAAAAAGGATGGAATCTTTAACGGTCAAAAATAAATTGTTTTATTTTTTTTATGTAAATGACAAAAAATCAACCCAATTTGGGTAATACAAAAGGGGAAAATTGAAAAAAAACTGCCCGACACGTTGAAATTTAAATTATGAAATATGTGTATATTTGGTAGATATCTAATAGTCTAATATATTCAATAACTAACTAAATCTTAATTATTCTCATGTTACGTGACAAGAAAACAGTTGAAATATCAATATTTGAAAAAATCCAAAAAGAGTAAATAAAATTAAAACTTACCAATGTGCTGTCACATCTTCCGATGTCGTATTGCTAATATTAAATAAGTTACCGTCAGGAAGTTAATGTGATGTCTAACTATTGGCCAGATTATTTATCAAATCATTTTTTATTATTTATACAGCTGATAGGTATCAACAGCGTAACGATACATTGACAATAAAATGTAATCGCTACACTTGAAACGTGGTTATTCTTTTTATACAGCTCTTTATCAAATATGGGACATACTGTGATAAGATTCTTTCTTTTAACCATTCTATTTTGTTGCAGGTAAATAAAACTTTTTGTAATTATAACTTTATGAGTAAACAATTAGTTATAAAACAATATTATAGTATAATATTGTTGATAAAATGCAATTGTATTAAAGATTGACAAGAAAAAGCGTCAAAGAGTCACACTGATAGTTGTCAAGAATTGAACATTAACAAACGACATTGAGCACTGATCCTTTTTCCACATGAGACTTGAACTTTCATTATTTTAGAACAAAAACGACATTAGGAAAATAACTGGTTATCAATAAGCAGGACAATTCCATAATAAATTTCAAATAATAAATCGATGCTGAATAAATAAGATTATCAATATGCTCTTCATGCGTTATGTTCTTTAATGTTTTTGTTTTAAAAGTCATATGTCCTAAAAGTCAATTACTTCCTGATGAAACTGCATGTCGAAAGCTTAGAAAGCGTTTGTTTATATTTGAAAAGAATGTGTCTTTCGAGTTAGTATAAAACTTATGAATTGTAAAGTCGCTTGAATTGTAGCAGGCAACGTAAGCAGATGTTTATGTAACAAAACTAATGTTTTGCCATCACAATCAGTAAATTGAAGGTTATTCACTTTAAAGTTCAACATTTAGTGGCTGGGCAATTAAGAATTGTTTATCAGAATAATTAAAGTACCCAGGTATTAAAAATGTGAAAGTCAATATTACATAAATACATCTTTTCTATGACATTCAATACAGTATAAATAAATACGTTAAGAGTTATCGATTCTAAAGAAAAGAATGAACAATTATCAAATAAACTATTTTATTGTAGTTATTCGTATTATATTAAGCCGTGTATTACAACTTACAACACAACAAGAAAAACATGCGGTGGTTTGTTTGGATGGGGTAGTTGCAGATTAATGTGAGTATAGTTTAAATGTATTTCCAAGACAACATATTTGTACATTGTTACATTATGATATGAGAATACATCTAAAGACGATTTTAATAGATGTGTTTCGCTTGTCTAAGAAAACTTAAAAGACGCTGCTAGATAATGTTTTATCAGCTTTTTTATAAATTAATAGGTTCGATTTTTTTTAAATATACTGCCATTGATGATTTTATTAAATTTAGCAGTTTCATTTTTGCTACTAAATTGTTTAGCCCTTCGACAAACGTTTTAATATGCCTTTTTGGCTAACTTGTTTTAGCCCTTCGGCAAACGCTTATATATGCTTTTATATATTTTGGCTAAAGTAACACAGAACACGAGCGTTGTTGTAATGGATACTATGGAGATAAAGCTGGACCCAAGAATCCAATGAAGGAACTTCCGTACGACTGCAAAAAACGTACGTGTATCTTGGGTCCTTTTTATATAATCACATGTAATTAATGATTAATGTTTAACACTTTGAAGTGACTTCTGTTCGGATAAATTTTGTTGAAATTAAAAATTAAAATAAACAGTGAACATCGCTTTTCTGAAATTATGTCTGATGAAAAGCCAATACAATTGTGTTTGATCTGTATCAGTATGAGTATAGTACATTAGAACATAGTACATTTTAACGCAGTGTTACTGTAGTTGTACTTTATGATTTCAAATGTATGCGCATAAATACACGTACACAAAATTGAAACAGATTGAAGAGGGTTTACAACATTATAATGCATGGTTTCTGAAAAAAAGTTCAACATATATTTACATGATTATTCAAAATGACCTTTCGAACGAGAATGATTTTTTTTCAAAATTGAAACTGGATATTTAGTTAAACGTTCATTTACACTGAATATGAAATATTATAGCCTAAGAACTATTGATGTTTACAACATGCATTTTGTTGACAATTCACATTGTCATGTTTAAAGCTTTTGTGTTAATGGGTTATCGTTATCAGTAAATAGACTTGTGTCAAAAGAAATTATTGTTTAAATAGGTGTAATTTCCATTTCTTTTTAGTTTCGATAAATTAAAACAAATAGGTGTAAGGTATGACCGGGTGGTTAACGCATCGAACTAGTAATCTTATGATCGCTTGCCGGATGGGTTAAAACCCTGTCAGGGTCTAGTCGTTGTGTCCATGAGCAAAAGATTTTACATTCATTACTCAGTACTGGTTGGTTCCTGGATCGGATTTAAAAGTGTCTTTTCTACAAAATCGAACAAAATTAATTCGTTTACCTCAAATATGGTATCCGCTTTCTAAATGCATATTAATTGGGTTTTTTCAAGCTTTGTGCCGAAATGGATATCTCTATACCCCTTGCAACGTTTACTTCGCTGGATATGTTGAACATAGGACAGGTGAAATTGAGATAAACAGTGGAGGTATATGTACGGCACCTTCTGTGTGCGAAGATTGCAATGATGGGTACTATCCAGTTACAGACTTAGGTGGTTATTGCAAAGGTTAGATGAAATGATTGAACTGCCAGCTTTATTCTTTTACCAACATTTCTTTTTGAAATAAACTATCGTCACATTTATTCCAAAATAATGTATGATGTATGACTTTTCTTTTTTGAAAAGGATTTTTATGTACTTGTTTGGCTTCAATATCAATAATTGTATCTTTTGTATGCTCATTGGTTTCTTTTAGTAACACATCTCTAAATTCTTACATCAGGGAACAAATATAAATTGGTAACTTAGCTTATATATATATATAATGAATGTCAGAATGCAGAAAAGAATCTGAGTCTTGAATTTAACAAAATGTCCGTTAGTTAGTTTTGTTTGAATCTTGCTTGGAAGTTACAAAACAATTTTAATGTATGAAGCTATAATTATATTTTGATATATTTAAAAAAAAAACATTACAGCGTGTCCAAAACCAGCCCATTGCAAACATCCTTCATGTAATACAGACGCACACGTAATATGCAAATATTGTGAGGGAGAGTTCGTCCCAGAAAAACCTGGATTTAATATTTACACATCAAAACCAGATAATACGCGCTGCCAAAGTAAGATTTATTTTAACTACCCATTGTTATATGGCGGCATGTATCTTATTTCATTTACATCTATATTGAATTATGAATTTTATCTGAAGTGACCCATTAATACGTATCAGATGTTACACAGAGAGAAATGTACGTATTCCTTTCCTTATATAAAATATACCAGGCGAGGTTGATACCAAGGTTTCAAGTGTAGCGAGGTTGAGGTCATTTTCGTATTCAAGTCGATCTACATTTGAGCGTTTAGGAGCGTTCGTGTCATTTCATGGAAAACGGAGTATGATCGAAAAGAAAAAGAATGTTGGTGCTCTGAACAAGTAAACAATGTAAATAAAACGCAATTTTTATAAGGATCAAATGCTATGAACCCTGCAAATCACAGAAAGTGGGCAAAGGACAAGTGTAATTAGCTGGCAACATAACGAAAGCGTGACTATACAGTATTCAAGTAGGAATACTAGAGCACTTAAACAAGAAAAGATCAAATAGAATAAACTAAATGGTCAATGATCGTGCGTTGTTACTCTTGAATCAAATATTACGTTATTTCAGTCATTTGCATTGTTTGGGGGAGGCTGTATGTGTGTTGGAAATTTTAATGCTGATAATCGAGAGAAAGTGCTGTTGAAAAGGAGGTTCGAATTAACAGGCGGTGGGTTGATTTAAAGAATAAAGTTCATAAAATATTATCCTTTTTCAAATTTCTATTTTATTTATGTCCACAGTTGGACAAACGCAATTTATCATAAGTCGTATTCCATGGAATAGCACGAAAGAGCCACATGACGTGTCCGTATAAACACATCCACAAATGTTTAAAATTTTACCATTTTTATTTTTTAATATTAAATTCAGCCTAAGTCTTGGACGGTAACTTGCACTTACCACTAATGACCAGGATCAACCTCAATTAAACAGGTCTGCAAAAAACACACCATGTTCCACTTTCCGTTCTAAGCGTTCTTAAAGATTTCTAATTTTTTCATTTTCTAATCAGGAAACGTAAATTATAGATAATAATCACATATTTGTTTTCTCTGTCGTCATAGCAGTAATTATTCTAAATAACGCATTGGTTTGTTTGTTTGTTTGTTTGTTTGTTTGTTTGTTTTTTCAACCGCAATATATCTATAATGAAAACATGTCACATTACAATATATAGTTTTATTATAGAATAAAAAAGAATAACTACGAAATGTTAGTTAATAGAAAAATTATCGTTTGATTAAACAGAAGCATGTTCCTGGATGCCAGGTGCTCGATGCTTTCCGGGGAAATGCATAGGTCATATGATTTTAGAAAATTGCAAATGCACTGAAGGTTTCGTTGGTCCAGACTGTGCAGAAGGTAAATATGTATAAGATAATTTGAACTTAGAACAACAATGGAAGTTATTTGATTTAATGCAGGCCGAACGCAATTAGCATATGTTACATTGTCTTATAGCATAACAAGTTCTCTATCAATTTCTCAAAGTAAACTTACTTATTTCGTTTCGTTTCAGACATTTAGTCTAGTACTTTAAAAATAGATATAATAAAGACCGATATCTATTATTCTAATCAATAACAAAATTTATATTCTTATAAATGAATAAAAATATTATGTTTAAATGGTACTACAGATAAACCGTATAAGTACATGCTAAGCCAGAAAATGTGCTTAATATATATATAATTATCATATTAAACTAAACAAGTTGACTTAATAACCAAATTGCCAGAATTTGATTTGTTTTGTTAAGAAAGACATAAGATCTGGGATTTTTAACAGTATGTTGCGCTTTTGCTGTATCAAAGTAATGTAACCAGTTGCATAAGATATATATTCATAATACCGGTATATCCATCAACGTTTTAAAATATGTTTCAGCTACATCAAAGCAAGCGCCAGAAATATTAAAACAAGTATTAACTTTGAGAGGCTCTAATAAGCCAGCTGTTTTCGTTGAAATGAGACAATCGTCTTCTCCGGTAAAGTGGACAAATGATGGGTTTTGGTCTGACATAGTGATAAATGCCTCGTCAAATTATGTCATCAAACACCTTGATCCATCGGTTATTCCGAATTACATAAAGAACTATTCATTTGGAATAAAATACATGTCAATTCATTTGACGTTGGTGAGAGGTAATGCATATTTTGAGCAAATTGCGACACTGTAGCTAACATATTTTCTATTGTTCTTCTTAAATACACTTATTAGAAGATCATACTGCGTTTAAACGCCTGATCAGAAATATTTATTTTGTACACCTATGATACTATCAAAATCACATACCGTATTCGGCTGGAATAGCAAAAAAAATAAATATCTATATCTATCCTACTGCTATGGATTCAATACTACAAATCAGAGATTGGATTGCACGTATGCACGTACTATACATAATCAATTATTATTGCTTCTTGTTTTAGAATTGGATAAAATACATCTTACATAAAAACACTTTCAACCGCAATCAAAAGAAATTCCAGTGTGAAACTCTTCTTTCTATAATCTTAAATATGGGTGTTTCTATACTGGAATTTGTACTCAAAACATTTTATGGGGGGATCTTTTTTCCTGCTTACACTTTTATTTTAATGTTTTACGTGCATTTCTTTTATTAACAGGTTCTGCTTCAGCTAAATGGAGGCTAAACGCACCAGAATGCACTAAGTTTCCGGAACTATGTACATTGGATTCCCAATCGTCGATAACTAGTGTAAATGATTGGCAAAACATATTGCATGGAGGTTTCATGCATTCAGACAGGTATTAAGCGCAGTAATACTTGTAAATTTAACTATCATAAATTAAGACATTCAAAATCTTTTTCATGTTTGTCTGGGGTTAGCCAAAGTTTTTTTTAAGTAAAACAATTTAATTTATCTATCGTATAGCTTTATATGTTTGTTGTTGTTGTTTTTTTTTTTTCAGATATTTCTGCTCAGCATAAATATTCAAAAGATAATAAGTTCGTTTTTATGTTTAAATGCTTTAAGATTACTGTCGGCATAATAAACGGCAATTACTTAAATGTTTGGTATTACATAGTTTACAAACTTCTTTGAAGTCCGATTACAGAATTGCTTGATCATTACAATTTAGCGAAGTAAAATAGTTACTGGCTTGATTAACAACGGATAAGTAACAAAACATCTGTTTTATCTTTCAGTACGCTATACTTGTTTGTTTGTATTAATCTTAAAAATAATCCGGATATATGATAAAATTCAGCAAATGTCAGACACCATTTCATTTGTCAATTCGTTATCAGCAGATTGATTCAAAATCAATAAGAATGAATTATTGTCAATAATGCATGCAATTCAGTTAATGATAATATGAAACTTAAAATGTAATTTTTCAAGCAAATCGTTATCCAATAAGCTTCAAAGTAATTTGATAAAGCTAAACTTACAAAGTAAATCGTGATAAAATTACCATCATTAACGTAGATTTATCATATACTACAGTATATGATAATATTTTGTTTCACATTAACGGGCTGTACCCTTAATTGAGTTGATAACATCAATCCCCCTTGAACATTTTGTAAGCACATTTTATTTCAATGAATTTCTATCTAATGTTATCTTCAGTAAAGACAGTAAGTTATACTGACAAGCTTTGTGTAATGAAATGTGAAATACTTTAGTCCTCTAGTTAAATTTTTTTGTACCCTGTTAAGTTATTTCGAGTATGATACCGATGTAATAAAGTGGCCTAATTGAATAATGACCATGTAGTCATTTCGTTTAAGGTTAAGGTCAGGAAATGTCAAAGTTGAATTCCGATCACACAATTTTACGTCATATCGATAAAACTTGCAATGACTCAACCTCAAAAATAAAGTATTGGTGACAGGTCACTGCGAACGTCAGTGTTTTGTCTCTACTGTACAACATTAGCAGCACAGACTACAAGGTAACAACAAGTGTTAACTAACCTCGCCACTTGCAGCGGTATATGAATACTTAGCGATCGCTTTGGTTTGGATAAAAATTATACAACTTTCTGATTCTTGGCCAACATTGTTTAAATGGAGTCATTTTCTTTCTCCAAAATTTGTCACGACTTTTTTTTATAGAATATAGACCTGAGGTAGCCTCCGAGACAAAGGCAACTTGTTTAGCTACTATTATAATTTCCAGGATACAGTTTACGGTATCTGCTAAAAATGGCGGAGAAATCCTTTATGAAGAGAGATCACGTATTGGTCACTACTTTAATAACACCTATCAAATTCGGGGAATAACGACAACAGAAACGCTTGAAATCAGATTTGATATGTTTCAACCCCACCATTGTTTTGAGACAAATGACAAAGGTTGTGTAAAAGATGCTTTACAGACGGAAGATTTTGTTACGGAGGTACCATTTTATTAATTTTGTTATTTCAATTCAAAGTTGATGTCACTTCACGCTGAACATGTTTGCTTATTGAAAAAAACGTGTTATTTCTTGAAATAAATGAGTCCTTTTAATAGAGTTTTCATGGTAATATATTTACGTGAAAATCAAATCATACAATTGATAAAAATTCAAAGAGTTAGATGAAGACTTTGGTTACGAAAATTTTAAGGTGTGATTAAAAACACTTTAAATTATAATTTAAATCTAATATGGTTAAAATAAAAAAGTAAATTTCAGCCACATGTATCTGTGCAGTGGGATGGATGGACTGATGATCTTTCTGGCATTGATACATTTGACCTGTACGTTTGGTATTTGTATTCAGAAAATTCCAGTCCCCTTAAACACAAATATCTAGTGTCTCAGACAACTGTCAAATCACCACAGGTAAAAGTTCAACTTAAGTAAATTATGTCAATTTTCATATACGAGTTCTGGTAAATCTGAAGGATTCTTAATTGATTATGAACATTGTTTGAAAACCTCTTTCATTTGTGCTTACGTTTTCTACAAAAAAGATCATATTTTTAATAAAAAATTGTGTTCAAACTGATATTTTTTCTTTGATATAATGATCGTTGATAAAAATTATTTTATAAATCATTGTTTGTTTATCATATTATGACGTATTTCGTTTCAGTCGTCGATATCACTTAATCTTACCGAGGCAGGACCACATTCTGTTGAATTGTTTGTATTGGATTGCGCGGGAAATAATAAGTCTGCACGAAGAATTTTTTTATTTGACAACGTATCTGTAGTTGAAACTTACGGATCGCCGCTAAAAGTATTACAGGCTAATAAAGACGACTGGATAAACCATTTTCATGACGTCATTTCTGTCGTTTGGACAGACAGGTTTAGGAATGTCAGACATTCGATCAATGGATGGCTGAATGCTGTGGCAGACAATAAAATTTTAAGATCCCTTGATGACCGCGATGGTAAATCCTTGAGGACTGTTGAAAAAATAGATAACATTGAAGGTGACTGGCTATGTCATTACGATTTCTTCATCCTACCATCTTTCTGTCCCATAAATGATTGTTCAAATACTGGCATTTACTAGAACAGTATATGTACCGACATTGCAAAGTTCAATCAATATTTATCGATTTATTGTCGTTTTTTTTATTTTATTTATTTATTTATTTATTTATTTATTTATTTATTTATTTATTTATTTGTGAAGTGTCCGTTTTGCAAACTGTCATTTATTTGTATTATCGTTATGTATTCATCAATAATTGTTAAGCTCTAGAATACTTTAAATAGTATCAAATTACATTTACGATGATAATTCCAAGGTTAATATTGTCTTACAAAATGCATGTAAAATGCATTTCAAGAGTTATCATTAACAATTATTTATTACTTATATATTTATTAATAACATCTTTGCGATCTATTTTTAAATTGTAAATTGTGTTTAAGGAGTGGTAAGGTATGAAATTGCCCGCCAAATTGAATTCAAAGGAAACTCTACAAATACCAATTTCCAGCCTGTCCCAGATTTGTATTTTCACTCTCAAAAGATGGTTTACGGCAATGAAGATCTAGTAGACGGCAAGAAACTAACCTACACAGTACGAGCATATGACATTATGAAGGAATATGCTGAAGACAATGTAACAGTCATGGTAGACCTTTCACCACCAATTATCCGTAATCTATGGTTGACGAAGGGTGACTTAGTAAACATAAGTGTTCACAGTGTATTGGAATTGAAAGAACTTACGTAATTTATATATTTCTTACTTTCATAATATTGTTATATATATACAAATATGGAACCACGTTGAAGTTATCTTTATTTTACTGTTTTTTGTTCGGGTTAAGAATTTTAATTTAATAAGTCATCGTGGAACAAACATGGAAGATGGTTTATATTCCCCTAGTAGGTTTATAAAGAAAAAGAACATTTAACCATACGGATCAAAACAATTTAAGCCAGAATACCATATTTTGATGTTATTTGAAGGGGATACCTCTACCTATACAAATTTTATTCGCTAACGTTTTATTTAATTTAATTTTAAGTATTGAATGGGAAGCGTTTGACTACCATAGTGGTCTTCATCAGGTTTCATGGAGGTTGTTTGATAACTTCACAAGAAGTATAATTGTACATGGTCAGTCTGTCGAACCTCCGCAGGGCGAAACTAAGGTAAGGAATAATTACAAGTAAATATCAACGTTACATTAACAAGGTGATTTACACATACATGTGCACTACATTTGTACTTATATTTTGTCTTAAAAACAGATGTTGACTGAAGAAAATACAAAGTTGATATTTGTCTTGTTAATGTATGCTTTGCACTGAAACGTGAATTTATTTTTCATAATGTAATTTTATTTCTTTAAGCATATAAGTCTGTATTTTTTCAGGATTTAAAGGAATGCAATCAAAAATACGGGTTGTATCCTCGAGGACCGAACTGCTACTGTTCTCCGTACAATGGATGTTTTCATAGACATTATCAGATCAAACCACCAGTTTCTAATGGTAGTAGTGGAGGTTTAAACTTTGGTAAAGAAATAGGTGATCATGATTATGACTATTATATCGAGGTAACAGTCTTAAACAGTGCTGGACTAGAAACCACCAAACATAAGAAGGTATTGACATACCCACGTTTTACGACTTAAGATGAATTTAAGAGACTCCACTGAGGATTTTTGACATGACGGGACTGAGAATATTTCTCCAGAATAATCATTTTATTGTGCAAAATGACCTAACATTAAAAGCGCTGTAACGTTTTTAACTCAATCAGGTTACGAATCGCAATATATATCGATTAATAATTTAATGCTGGGTATATTTTCTGTTTTTATGCTTATGATCATTTGGACCATACATCTTTTATCTTAATACGAAATAAATATATGACTGTAGTTCTGTCTTGCGTCCATTTGTTAATATGTAAATATATAATATACTATTTCTCCCTTACAAAATGTTTCTTTAAATATAATGAATACAATTCTGTGTATTAATTTTTGTTTTGTTTTTGTTCTACATTTTAATAGTGTATAAATTCATAAGTGCAAATAAACTATGTATCCATTCTTTTAGATAACGATCGACACATCGCCACCACACGAGGGTAGAGTACACGATGGTATACCTGGAGATCCCGAAGTTGACTTTCAGCAGTCACTAAAGCTTGAAGGTTATTGGGATGACTTTTTTGACAAAGAAAGTGGAGTATGGTTATTTACATTTGGCTTCGATCAACATTGTTTACATGAAAATGAGCTTGATATACATTCAAAGGTTAGTTAAGAACTACAGAAGAGTATGGCATTACTATCTTTTGCATATTTAAACAGTACCATGCCTCTAGGATCTAACGTTTTTTTAAATTTCTCATCAAAAGATTCCAATTCCAACAGTTTGGTTATATTTAAACATTGATTTAAAAGTGTAAGATTTAGCTTAGAATTCTACACAAAAATCATTCATCATTGCATTTAAGGGATAATATGCCTATAATATAACCGTTGTGGTCGTCAATGAAATCAATTAGACTAAGTATGTTTCTTCTGTAAGTGAAAAAAGGTCCATTATACGAACACAAGGATTGTGCAAACATATCAACTTTTCATTCAGGTTAATTGGACGTACGACAGTAAAGCTGAGTTTACAGCACCAAAACCTGGCAAATATTTTCTCACAGTCATGGCATATAATCACGCCCTTGGTCATAGTAAACCTGTTTGTTCTGACGGAGTTACGATAGATATCTTACCGGCAATAGTGTCAGAAGTTGTACTTCATGATGCAGTAACGGCAAGCGGTCTTATCAAGAGTGATCTAAATGATACAGTTTATGTTTTATATAGAAACCGTGAATTGGAGAAAGTTGATAATCCAACTAAAACTTGCAGGTTAGGTTTTTCTGATTACGATGATGTAATAATTTTGAGAAATCTGAATATTGTACAGCACGACTTTGTTGTTGCATTTCAATAAATTATTTCGATTTTGCATTTTCCCTACGGGTGATCCAGAATACCCTCTTAAAACTACAAAGGAAGAACTTAAAATATTGACCTGTTATTTATTTATTTATTTATTTATTTATTTATTTCATACCCTCGAATCCCCGTTAACAATTCTGTTGGGTTTTTTGGTTCCATCAAATGTTTTCTTGAGTTACACACACAAATTCCTTTGGGGACCATGAAAAGGCAAAAAATGTAACATTGAACATGATCATCGCCCTTTGGAAAATTCTGTGTTTACTTTTCAAATAATAATTTCACATTTTCTAATAATATTAATTATGATTTGTTTATTGCCTATGAATCATTTGAATAATTTGAAAATAAATCTTGGAACACTTTTATTATTATGATTTATGTTACAGAGATCTTTCAACAACTGTTCCGGACTCTAAAATAAAATTGTACCCACATAAACGTTCTAATGGAAGCTTGAGTAGAACTGTTTTGGATGAGGAATGTGACAATCTTCATGGTGTCCATTCAGACTTAATTTCCTACATAACATCTGATTCAAGGGTATATGTACTATAACGCTTTACAGAAGTTAGAATATTTAACATAAAATACTTTATATGTCATAAATATCCAGTGTAGACATGAAATTAAATGTAATAAAAGATTTATATTCAAATTTGAATTTTTACAAAAAGCTTTATAGCGTTAATTTACATGCTTATTAAAAAAAAGCATGTTACATTTTCAATTTAGCCGTTTTTTGAATGATCTTGAAGGCTCTTATAAGGTTAAGTCTTTAAAAAGATCAAAATTTAGACAATCTATCGTTTATTGCCATATGAAATTACATGTCACATATAGTCTATACATGTTCACAATCTTGAGCCTTGAGTACATTCTTTGTAAATTAAATTACGATTGCTTATATTATGCATGATATATTGCTGTAAAGCTTGTTTTAGTTTTAATGATTTCTTTTTATTTAGATCGATATATCATGGAATGTTACATTTGGAGCTGGTAGTGTTTATGATTATGAAGTAGGAATAGCATCTGAGAAGTCAAAGTTTCCAGATGTTTTGGACTTTACTTCTTCTCACCATCATCAGCATATACGCTTATTTCATCCAGATATTTTTGACGGGGAACAATTTTATGTCATGATAAAAGCCATTACAAAATCATCCGTCACAGACATTAAGGTATTATTTCCAAAATTCATAGTTAAAAAATTAACTATTTAACCCTCATTTTCCTTTATTTGCAAACAAATTATAACGTACGACAAAAATATAAGCTCTGTTGTATCTAAATAATTACCAACATTTTGCTTACAATTAATTTTTACTCATGATGCATATAATATAGATAGCAGTGATAATTAGTTAACACATTCATAAAAAAGTTATTGTTGCATGCATTCATATATATATTTTAAACATACTTTAGACAATTGGACCATTTGTTTATGACTCATCAAAGCCAGAGTTTACTGGAGAAATCAGTCTTTCTGTTGAGCACACCGACAGCGATACTTTTCTGATCGCTAAATGGAACAAAGATGCATTTACAGATCACGGAGACCCTAATGCCTTGAGATACGAAGTAGCTGTTGGTCAGTGTGTAATTGTTATTTCATTTGTCCAAATATTTTTCTGTCAAAAGGATGCAACTTTGTAACCTCTTCTTCTTGTTTCAACATATTACGTATATATAGAGAGAATATTGAATAAGTGTATGACAAATACTGAATTTATTGAACATGTTGCATTAATCTAAATTATGCGAGCCTCAGGTGAGCATTCAGCTCGTTCCATATATTTAGTTATGATCCTAAACAAATATCATACTAGTATACTAATTCTCACATTCACGGCATAAAATTATTTTATAGTAAAAAAAATCACCTTTTCAATTAAGCAAATATCATATAACGCTTATATTTGGCCCCCGTTCCCGCAATGTTTGTTTCGTTGTATAGTTATTACACATGACTATTACTGTTTTTCAATGACTTTATTGCACTACTGCATCTGGTTTTTGAAATTTATCATAAACTGTACCATCCAATCTGTTTACGAATGAAATATAATTATATTGTTTTAAGATACACATTTTAACCTAAGCTGTTCATTTTTAGAAGTGTATTATCAATTCTTTCAGGAACAACAAAAAATGGAAAAGATATTCTTCCATTCAGCAGTATTTCCACTGGTGGAAGTTGTAAATCGTTTACACAGCAGACTTGTACAGCTTTTTCAACGCACTCACTGCCATGGCACTTACATGGTGAACTCGACTACTTTGTAACGATAAAAGTAAGAGATACGGCAGGTCACTTTGTGACGGCTGGCTCAAAGCCATACAGACACAACATTGAATTGGCATCGAGAGGCATTGTTCATGATATTGACGACAGTATATCACAGGTCTTAATTTTTGTATCACACGGCAAATAATGTTACAGTATGACAATGATGTTTTGCAGTGTAAAGTTATTTTTGCAAATGAGTTTTAAAAACTTGTGTAGCAGTTCCATTCTAATTTGATAATTTCTAACTATTTAGTAGGAACGTGTAATGCAATTGTTCAAGTCATAATACATAATATATATTTATATTTTCTAAACGTTTTATGGTTTTTGTTTACAAATTGTTTCGTTTTTTTTCAGTTTGTTGATATTGATGACATCGACTATCAGACAAGTACCTCTAAATTAACAGCCAGGTGGTCAGGCTTTGAACACCCGCATGAAGATATAAACTTTACAGTTTGCATTTCTAACACTACTTCCAAAAACTTCATAACATGTGCTAACAGTGTTTCTGGGAATAAGCATACATTTTCCGGCCTTAAACTAAAGCCCTATCAGGTATAACTACGTAACTTGAAATAGCCTTCGCTTTGCCATCTATACCGTGTAGTTTTCAAATTTTTATATGAAAAAATATCAATTCCTACTTTACGTGCATTATTATATTAGATAATAATTTACTGGGATCTGGCATTTTGATTGATTGAAATGATTTTATTAACATTTCCAAAATGCTTATTTCTTATCATGTCTAATTTCTAGACATATTACCAAACTGTCATAGCAGAAACTGAGGCAGGAAATGTTACCGCAATTTCTGATGGGGTGACGGTGGTTGTAGACGGCGGAGAAATAAGCGGAATCAAGGTGCTCGATGGTGCTGTTTGTAATTATTCTATTGGTGGTGTGTATATTTTCTGTTGTTACTAAGATTAGAAACTGAATATTTTCAGATTCACGATTTATTTTAAAGTATTATTATTTATCATGTCATTACATTGATTTCTGAAAGAAAGTGCATGCCTAATAAAGTTAACTTTATCAGTCGTCTTCAGCGTCATCAGACACTTTCATCAATACATATTGAAACAAAATGAAGAGAGTGGAATATCGTTTTACTTCTTACCAATTTTGAAATATTAAAATGATAAATTTTCAATCGAATTTGTTTTTAAATATTAAAGTCTCTCTTACATTTGACTAAAAACAACAAGGACTATTTCATATAGATATTACCCTTGGCATATTACTGCGAGCGGTATAGTATAAAGTCGAGAGGGTCTTGTAAGGTTTTTGTTTCATTTGAATTCTAAAAAAAGAAACGCATATTACGCAAGTGTCTGATATTAAAAAAAATCGAACAGGCTCGGTACGGAAAAAGATTGTGTAATATCAGACACGAGCATGGTATTCTCTTTCTATCATCTACATTATTTACATATTATTTGACGTCCATATGAAGCACATTTTATAATGTTTAATGAATTATATATTTAATATTCAGATATCAACTTGACCACGTCACATCATGATGAGGTAAAGTTTATATATCATACTTACATCATGAAATTAATAATTTTCATTGAACAGAAAATGACTGTATCATTTAATGAAAGTTATGCGAAAGATTAATGCCTTAAAACATTATTTAGTAAAGTAAAATTTAAAGTGGGAAGTTGGTAAATTGCATTATAATTATATTGTGACTATGATATAATTACATTATACATGAAACACTGTACATGAACTTTCATACAAAAAATATAGAAATTCTAATCATATGCATATTCATCAACTAATGAAAAATAACTTTTGTTGAAAATGTTGAATGCAAACAAATTTATAGTTATTGTCATATTTCTTACAGGACAAACGTTTACCATGTAAAGAAGATAGAGATTTCCAGGCATCAACAAATGTGCTTCAGGCACACTGGGAAATACCTACAGATAAGGCACATGTCCTACGTGATATACACTGGGCGATAGAGGAACGAGCTCCAGTTACAAGTAAAGATTTACAACAAAATAATTTTTGATGAGTACAATTAACAGCAATAAAAAGTTGACCTTCTTCATTCACCATTATCCATACAGAGTTAAGGAACTTCCATACATCTTACAAATACACACATGTACTTACATCTTACAACTCATTAAAAAGATAAAAGAAAAACTAATTTTACTGTTTCAGATATATGGAAGCTCTATACTGAGTATGTGTCATTGAGAACAAGTTCGTCATACATGGAAGAAAGTGGTTTATCATTATCCCCTGGCAGAACTTATAGAATATCTTTGAAATTTTGTGCAGGAAAATATTGTTTCAAACCAGTACATAGTGACGGTGTTACTGTTGTTCCAAATCCTCCAGTTACTGGGAATATGACTGTTACATATACTGCAAATACAACATCGGTACATTTTTATTTCACCTTAGAGTTCAAGTTATTATATTTTTAACTTGCTTCATGATATACTGAATGCCAGGACCGGACAAAGGGGAAACATGAAATAACTTCATGATATGCCAAATGCCAGAAAAAAGGATACAAAATACCGTGAATCACGTCTTTGTTTATGTTTAATGAAATGCTGACATATTCTCTGTAAATCTTTATACTGAATTATAATAATGTTTAGGAAACCAAATTAATACACGGTTTTGTAACGCTTTCAATTGCTATACGATGTAAAGAAAGTATGCATATTAAAATTGTTCAGGTTGATGTCAGTATGGAACCATTCAAAGATACCGATATTGAAGATCTTACTCAGTCAAAAGATGTTATTGATCATTATGAATGGGCGTTTGCAGATGAATCCGCGTTAGGTCGACTGCTGACAAAATGGACACGGCTATCGCATAGGCTATCGAAGTATGATAATTCGGTAAGTTATTATTGGACAATATCACCTGCATAGTCAAGTAAATTGGTGAAGGGTGTTCAATTTCTGTGACATGTAGCTCAACGCCAGTCACTTCCTTTCCTTGCGCGCTCAGCATATTAGAATTCACCGGTTCTCTGTTTTAAAACAGAATCGGAAGTTTTTTTATGATTTTGAATCAATATATATCCTTTTAAGAGATATACGACATATTCATTTGAAATCTCTATAATAATTTATTTGCAGTTGAATTTCACAATAGACCTAAATGAAGAAATTGCTTTCACAAAGTGTTGGATACTTATAATTCGAGGGTATACCAAAGCTGGTTTATCATCCACAACATCTTCGGAAATCAGAAATTGCAAGGATCTACAGCAAGTTCGAACAAATGCTGTTATTGATGCGGTCGGTGAGCCTTTATCAACAGGTAAAACGGCCAATGATCTTAGAATATTTATATCCAATTTGATGATTTCTTATTGTTCTAAAATTTTTGAGAAAACGAACATTTAAAACATTTGCAGCAAAGAATAAATTTCTTTATATTGTCATAATATTATAAGAATAAGAGTTAAAAAGATTATTTATTTATAATTAAAAGTATAAAAATTATTCAAAATGCGACTCATATGATACCACTAATGCCCATTATCAATATCATTCCAACGGAACCCGATATTATCATTTTTGTCGTACTAGCCGCTTGTCATGTTTTTTCTCTATCTATGCAATATACCAGCATTTATATACCTAAAACGTGTTTGAGATGTTCGTTATCATAAAATATGTTTATATAATATCATGATCTTTTCGAGGCGTTACGGGGTTATTGAAAGTTTAAAACATCTTTCCAGAATAATAAATAAAAGAACTGAATTGTGTTCATAATCAGATGTACATGTATTAGAGTTTATGCAATGACTCAGAGTTTAAAAACTAAAAAAGCAAAGAGTTTCATTTTTACAGAAGACGACCATGTCGGAAAAGAAATCTTCTTAATTGAAAATGATGTTTGGAAACAGCCTGACAGAGATTATACCCCGTATTGCAACATTTTATGTGCAGTCTGGCCAACATTAAGGTAAACGAGTCCAGTCCAATTCAATGCGGCATTTCTTTGTTGGTTATTTACATAATTATATAATATGTGTTATAAAATGAATAAAAATATATTTAATATGAACATACTACCTTATTTGAATAATTAAGTTTATTAGAAATACAGTGAAAAAAGTGAAAAAAATGTATAAGTACTTATATCATTTTTATCTAGGCACTCTCAATACGTATGGGCCGTATTATTAGTAAATGTGGATGATCCAACTGTGTTTTACGATCGGTCAAAGAAGTTAGGTCTGGATGACCCATGTGAACATCCTGATGCTATCAAATGTGGCAAGACAGGTTTGTAATTATATAGTTTTTTCAATATCAAATAATAGTTTTAAAATAACATTTTATGATGCTTGCAACATACGTTATATATCTCCTGTAAGATACCGGAATATGTCAGCAGAAATCATTCATTTGAAAATTTTTCTTTGACAAAACCAAAAGAACAATATATGATTTGTTTTTATTTTTCCATTTAGAGAACGAATTCATCAATGTCGGCTTCAATTCTGGTGAACTTACACATGGTAAACGCTATATATTTTGTATTCATGCTAATGCATCGAAAGTAGAACATGAGTTTTGGACCGAAGAACTAGAAGAGATTGATGAATGTAGCGATGGAATTACAATTGATCTTACGCCACCAATTGCAGCCGATGTATGGATAGGAAACGAAAAAGAAAACTTATTTCAAGTAAAAAAATGTTTTCACTGTATTTTTATCAATGAAACCTCAGTATTTTGTCTGTTTCCAATTTAAAAGTTCGTTCCGTTATAAGCTATATATTTATCGATTTTGAAATGTTAATCATACTTGTATAATACACTTCACTATAATACACGAATGCAGAAATCGGTGATTTACACACTATGTATAATAAAAGAGTCTGTAATCTTATAGATACTAAATTATTTGGTATGATTTTTACCAAGCAATACTCCTCAAAAGCGAAGTAGAATACTGCTGTAGCATTTTTTATACAATTTGTTTTTTAAAACTCATGAAAATGGATGGGGTTATCCCTCAGAAGCAATGGAATCAACAGCGAAATCAACAACATAAAATTAAAATCTGGAAGAACGGTGATCCCTCGGAAGCATTTGTCCCAACAAAGTTATATGAACATTGCAAACTCGCTTTGATGGCGTCGGTGCATTAGAGATGTGAGATCATGTAAATTTGTAACATTGTGCAAGCTCCTGGCTACGGCTCAAATAGTATTCAGTATCAAACATTGATAGGATTGAAGATGGTAATGTGTATATTTGCTGTGTATGTGTGCGTATCTGCGTGCGTCTGTGTATGTATTTTTATATCATATTATACAAAACCTTTCTGATTTTGATAAATTATCAGCCGTATTCATTGTGTAGAAGTCGATTTTATTTTATAATGTTTACCTATCATAAACAATTTGTAAGAAGAATATATTTATTTCCCTTCATATTAGACATCAATATCTGAGCTATCAGTACATTGGAACTCATTCACAGATGTTGAAGAGGAGGGTTATGCTGCTCATGTCAGTGGGATTACACACTTTGAGGTTGCTCTAGGTATAATCTGTATTTTATTTCTCTTTGTTTTCAATTTACAGTCACATTGAAATCGTTTAGTCTAGGTTGTTTTTTTATCTAATATGTGTTCTGCATTTGGTCTTTATGTTGGTGGCATAATTTTGAATTTATTCAAAGTATTTTGTTCTGATAGATACGTAAGTGATTGCCTTATTAAATACGTCTTTCACCCGAATTTACACCTGTGAACTTGTGAACACTCATACTGTTAATTCAAACATAAGAATAATATCCTGCGCGATATATCAAACGATATAGGTATAAAATAAAAGTTTTTTTTTCAGGAACTGCTTCAGGTGGTAAAGACATCCAACCGTTCACAGATGTTGGACTAACAAATCATAAGACATTCCATGACCTTAAGCTACAAAACGGACACACTTACTTTGCCTCAGTAATTGGTAACAACTTTTTAATATCATGTTTTCTATTTCAAACATTTGTATGTTACTTTAAGATTAAAGCATCTTTAACAATGTGGCTAGTCTACCTAAAATTAAAGACATTTGTTCCTATATTTTGTTATGTTTGATTTTCATTTTGAACATTGGCAAAAGCAAACAAAATCATTCCATAAATTGTAAACGTAAAAGACCCAACTTTATGTCATGTTATTTATTTATGAAAGTTTTATATGCCTATCTATCTTGATTAAATAATAAACAGTCCAGTGCCCTCTATCCAATTGGCATTTGTCCTACCTTATCTTGACATAAATAAAATGCTGAGGGCTGGTAGGTGAAACATACAAGGCAATACAGCAAATGTCGCTGCTGTTTAGATTATTGATACTCGTACGAGTATGTGCGATAACTAAAATGCATATATCTATATGTCCAATACATTTGTTTGTAATTTATTTTTCTCATAGCCTACGACTTTACGGGTCAGTTCTCAAAATCAATGTCAGAAGGGATAAAAGTAGATACAACACCGCCACAACTAACAAATATCACCATCACTTTACCATCAAGGCATATTTCTGACACGGAATTTGTGGAGGCATGGTAAAAATATTCCGCTTTGATATGTTATTTTAAATGCTAATAATGACAAATTTACAAACCGAATGTGATAGATACTTTAAGCATTTGTGTGATGACAACAGTAAAAGGTATATCATCACATAAAAATAAGATAATGAGAAATAATTTTTTCAAATGAGAAATGATATTTTATTTGACACATGTTATACACTCTTGGTAGTTTACTTTAAAATTAATTATGTTACTGACTACAAAATAAGATTATGTTTCAGTTGGAAAAATGTGTTCGTAGATTTAGAGAGCGGGATCTCACATTATAGTTGGGCTGTAGGTACACATGCAGGATATGATGATGTATTTTCATTTGATGATACAGAAGAATTGTGTGCAAAAACTCCAGAAAGCACTCCTTTAATGTTAAAGGAAGGTCATGCATACTTTGTCACTGTGAAGGTAAACTATTAATAGGGGTTATTATGAATGTTAAGTTTTTTCCAAACTTAAATGAAATATTATTTAATCTATAATTGGTGATATGTTTAAATTTAAATATTATGAACATTCTTTTTGAAAATTACATAAAGATAATGTAGACATTTAGAAATGTTTAAGTATAAGACATTGAGAGACTGAGAAATGTCATTTACATATGTAAGATATAATGGTTTTATTTGCTCAGGCCCATAACAAAGCTGGTTTATACGCAACAACGTCATCTTGGGCATTTACTGTGGAAGCAACACCACCGGTCCCTGGTAAGGTGTACGATGGTCCTCCTGGAATAGATGGTTCGTGTGTTGATGTTGATTACATAGAAAACCATTCAACATTAAAAGCTCATTGGAAAGGCTTCCTCGACCCACATAGCACGATGGTCGAATATTTTGTGAATATTGGATCCTGTAAAGATTGTGAAGATGTTCTTGTTAAACAATCTGTTGGTATTATAACAGGTATAGCCTTTTTCTTTATCAATACATGCACGTTCGTTTTTTTTTTTTTTTTTTTTTTTTTTTTTGTTTGTTTGTTTGTTTGTTTGTTTGTTTTTTTTTGTTGTTGTTGGTTTTTTTTCTTTCTTATTCCGCAAAATTACATATTATTATAAGGCTTACAAAACACTTTTATTAAAAATGTGAGATAATTCGTAATTCATATATTTATGATGAAATTATTTGTTCCTTTACATAAATGTACACAAAGTTGATAGTCTTCAAACCTAACATCGAATATGACTACCATTATACTCTTAAAAATGTATAATTATATATGAAACTACATGAAGTATTGCAAATAAAAAGAATAACATGAAAACCGACAGCATAAGTATTGGTTTGTTACCTGCAGGTATTGAATTTACATTTCTACAACTGTCGGAAGGACTTCACTATTATGTGACTGTAACGGCGTGTAATACAGCTGGACTTTGTTCATCTGCGACATCAGATGGCTTTGTTGTAGATTCAACTCCACCAATACGTGGGATATTGACAGACGGGCCATTAGAAACTGAGTTACAGTATCAAGCATCTAGGTTTGAATATTTAAAATGAATTCGATACTTATATATATTAATATATGTTAAACAAATATTGTATATGAATATACTTACGGATTTAAGGTCAATACTATTGTACAAAGTATGAGGCTCCTAACAGCAATCTCAAAGTGCTTAAATAATCTTTTAGTTGTCTTTTATTTCATAAAGATTCATAAAGAATTGCTTGTTTGAATTCAAACAAAATGCTTATGAATACACCTATCGTGAACAGTCTGGAACACAATACAATTTATAAGTATGTACCAAATAACGTGCATCGCTTTTTATGAAACTAATTGCAAATGACATGGCATTCAGTGAAACAATTTTATACTATTCTGAAGCATGAACATTTTTAACTTACGAATACATAATTTCTTGGTCGGTTTTATGTTAGGTAAGTATGTAAATCTATTTCTTATACACCAGGAATTATATCGGCTGTGAGTGGGACAGTTTTACAGACCCACAGTCGGATATATCACACTATGTATGGAGAGTAGGAACAACTAAAGGTGGCGACAATATAATACCTGCTGATGATGTACACAGGCATGAAGAGGCTTTTATTTTTGATCTACAGTCAGAATATAAAAAGACATTGCCGAAAGGTGTTCGCATTTACTGTACTGTGCGTGCTTATAATAAAGCAGGTGAATAATCTTATGTCATGTGCCTTCTTTATAATTTTGCGATATTCATTACATTTTTAGACAAAAGTCATAGACTATAAAATGAATATATGACTTTATATTTTAAATTAAATTTGTGATTTCAAAACACTTTGACAAATAGATATAAATGCCTGTATAATTCACTTTTATATTTTACTTCAAGAATGTATTGCTTTGGCTGCGTTAGAAAACATGCGATAGTGTTTGGTTTATATTTGAACTTATTGTTTAAAGTAAAATGGAAACTTTTCAATGACGATGAACTGGCGCCGGAGTGAAATCATAGACCTTCGATTAGCTTGTTAGTGACAAATATCTGTGTTGTAGTAACTTATAATTAAAATACCCAAAGAAACTGTTTCATTTAAAATAGACTTTTTTAATTGTTGCTAGAGATTGTTTAGACATTATCGTGTTTTATTTGAAACCTATTGTTTTAGCTCTATTGTGGTGAAAGCTTGAATATCTCTCAAGTCCGCGTCCTGGGCCTAAACCAGTAATGTGTCATATAAGGAATCATGGTCGTAAACCCTGTTAAGCTCTCACAAAAAATCCCTGGTTGAAGGGATAGACACCTTAATCACCAAGTCGTTTCACATTCATCTTGTTTTCCTTTTCGTAGGAATGTATGTTGAAGCCACGTCGAATGGTTTTATCGTTGATGATACACCGCCAATATTCAAAACAAATTTAACGATGTCATCGATCGGGACGATCAAAAACGGAACAACTGTGTCGAGAACAACCTTGAGGGTGTATTGGGATGTCAATGACGATGAATCATTCATTGAAACTCAACATCTTTCTATATCTTCACATATGGGTGGAGATTTTAATTTGTCATCTACTAAAGTTAGTACTATATTTAAACTGTTTTGGAAAAGATGAAAATATATTTCTTGTTTTATTAGTAATCATTACTTTCCATCAAGAAAAAAGGTTAATAATTATCATTAGGTATTTAAGAAAATTAAAGAATAATATATGAATTCATTCTGGTAACAGTTTGTTAATAATTATCTATTACACAATCTGTTTTGTCTCCAACTTTTAAACATTCTGTTTAAACAGAAACTCCTTGAAAAAGAGGGGTTTAACCCCTCGAAACGTTGGACATAGAAAAGTTTGTGTAATAGATAATTATAAAATATGAAGCTTTTTTATTAGAAATTGTATGTCCTTTTTAGCGTAACAAACCATTGCAATTACATAATTATCGTATGGAAAAATGCTAGAAATGTATAGTAGATTAGTTATCAAATTTACATTTTAAAGCAATTACGTGTGTACTTCTTGAATTTTATATATTTTAAGTTGTCTGTTATTACAGATTGATGGTATTGTTAGAGACTACACATTCACCGATCTTGATTTTCACGATGGAAGTTTCTATTGCATCAAATTGGTATCCTGTAATGGTGCTAATCTCTGCTCCAAATCAACACTTGCTAATATACTTGTTGATAGCACAAGACCTACACCAGGTAATCTAGGGATCATGTAATATACCAGAAAATTCTAATTCTCTAAATGTTTTGGCCCAATTTATGTCTTAAAAAAGCTTATATACATCTTACAATATGGACAATACTATTTTATCAGTTTAGGGAAACTTTCGAAATATGCACTGCCTGAATAGCTAGCAGTGCCGATCATGCTCTTTCGTTAAACATTACAAAGTTGTTAAATCTGACAAAAACCTTTTTTATAAAGAATAATTCACTATCAATTCTCAGGAACTTTTGCAATCAATACTGACCACGCGGCAGCTTTAGACAGACAACCGGAAGATTGGATGAAGTGGACACCCATATCAATTAATCTGGCTTGGCTCGGTTTTGAGGATTTACACTCAGATATTCATTCATATAACGTTAACTTTGGTAGTCAGTTTATGGGCAATGATTTGAATGAGGTATAGGATTACACCCATTGTTTTATTCATTATAAATAAAAGGGATTTTATAATCTTCAAATGCGTGTTTTTTCTGTGTGTCCAAAGGCTCGAATATAAGGATATGCACGGGCGTTTACCGAGTCAAACAACATATGATAGAAAAATATTGCATCTGCCGCTTCAACGGTACTGTCAATTTGTTATTTATAGTACGCATAAGAAAAAATTTCTTCATTCAGAATTCCATGTTTGTGGTAATACTAATATATACTCTTTGTGTTAACGAAAATTTATCATGAATATATTATACATGTGTACGTAACGTATAATACAGTTTTTATATGTTATAAAGAATATGTAACTGTTTATCAATCAATAGGTGCCTTATACACCAATGATTGTGAACCATGATATAAATGCAACGTTTCACGAAGATGGAAAAGTTCAAATGTTCAAATTTCATACACAAAAGCTGAGAGAAAACATGACAGTCTACATAAGTGTTACAGCAAAAAATCACGTAATGACTTAAATCATTATATTGCCCTCTGACCTTTATCAAAGGAATTGAATATAGGGTTTTATATTGTTTAAGATAATGATATATCTAGTGATATAGGTGATATGCTATTTAGATAGTTATAGTAGCTTTGGGATGCAGATTTTGTTTTATTTTACATGAACGATTTTATGTATTTTATTAATACATGTATAAGGGTTTATATATGCAAGTATTTGATGACTTAATCACAAATACCACAATTTAAAGGGTATGTTACTATGGTTACTACATGCTTGGTAAATATGGAAAATTATAGTTTCATATTGCTTTGTTGTTTTTTCTTTTACTTTAGTTTTATTTGGATATTTTAAAAGTAGTGTTTTCAAGATATCATTAATAAATTAATATTGATCAACTGATTTTGACAGGTTGGACTCACAAGTGAAATGATCCATTCACAATTTAATTTGCTGTTTGGAGGCATAATGGAGCTGGTTCGCAGATGCGAAAGCTTTTCGTGCGAAGGACATTGCGTGTGCGCACCACATGGTAAGATGTGTCATAGTAACAAACAGTGTAACGATATAAGTGGCTCAGGTAGGCAGTAGTTTTCTCTTTTTTTCTCTTTTTTTCTATTTTATTTTCTGTTTCTATATCAAAAAAAGGAAAACAAAGATCATAAAGTTTAATATTGTAGTGTGCATTCAAATTAAAATACTTGATTGATTTATAAGAGATTTAAGAAACAATGGTTTCTATTTGGAAGAAGATTTTGACAATAACTAGATTAGCTGTTTGTTGATACTGGCAATATTTCTTAAATTTATAAACTTTCATTTCCTCCATCAGATAATAACAATACAAATATTGAAGTTGACGACTATCTAGATCTACGATTTCCAGACAATTACCCTCACCCTCTTCATTCACCATTTAATAGTATACTTGCTGCGAAATGGAGAATTGCACGGCTCGATGACAAAAACCCACTATGGTACTATTCTTTACTTTATGTTGCGACAACTAGCACTTAACTTTTTATTTCATAAGTGCAAGTTATATCAATGAAATTATATTACACAATGTGACTGTGACTGAAAATATATTGTGTATAAACTGTTCTGTATAAATTCAAAACTAAATTGTTCAAATTGTTCAACTTTTAAGTAAAACGTGTTTGTTACAGTACTGTAAACAGCGTTGATAAAGAACGATCAAAACTAAATAACAAAAAACTTACACGTATTTAGGATCAGAGTCAATATGGTATTGATGATTATAAATTGCTTTATTTCCTTAATTGGTTAAAGGTACGAGTGGAGTGTAGGTGAAAGTGACTTTGACAATCCAATTGGTGTATTTGATAAAATAAAGGAAAACGTGTGGCATGAAATAGGTCATGACAATGATATCGTATTCACGGTTGATAGAGGTAAAACAGATTATTTGTAATATAATATATTATTCTTCACAGTTTTAAATAAGCAATTATGTTTTTTTCTTCCTGAGCTTGTATTTGCGATCACAGCAAATGTTAGGAATGACGATACATTTATAATTGGTATCTCAAAATAAAAAAAACTTAAAGTTATTGATATATCCGTGAAGAATAACCAATGCGTTTATGAATACATTTCTAAAGTGAAGAAAAAAGGAAAAGTACCTATCCAAGTATGAAATAAAACAACGTATATTTGTAACATATATAGAAATGAAATGAAATGAATGAATATGAAATGGGGGTTTATTGTTCAGTTTTATTGTTTCAGAGAAATCTGTTTTGCTTGAACATACATCTTACTCAGTCTTTGTCCGAGCCTGGTACAACAGTGATACGTATGCGATATTTAAAAGTGATGGTCTAACAATATCCCACACACCCCCTTTGTCGATTGTTACAAATGGGAGATCAGTGAAGGAATTATCTACAGAGTCAAAAAGGGACGTTGATTTTATAACAAGAAAAACTCAAGTCCGTGCTGATTGGACGGGAAAGTTTGCAAGCCAAATATCAAAGTATCATTTGTACATAAGTACTCATCCAGGGGGTAAATGAAATTGTATACTTCTTTCTTATATAACAAATTATTGATAATGTTAATCATTGTTAAACATTATTAGTAAATGTGGATGGTTGTCGGAAATAAGTGTCACTATTGCGTATTTCTCATATACAGCTTGTGAGTGCAATGAGTGCAAAAGAATGAATAAATTAAAGGAGTTTCAACAATAATTTCCAAAATTATAAAATTATGTTATAAATTGTTTTTACACATATATAATAATGCAGATTAAAATTATGAGATATGTACTTCAAACCACGAGCAGTTTTTATTAAAATGTTTTCACAGGTCATGACCTGCATGTGGTAACAAAGAACCTGCAGCCCCCTTTGACAAGCTACAACATAACTGGATTAAAATACGAAGAAAATACGAAATACTACACAATAGTGCAGGCATATAATCTAGCTGGTCTACATACCACAGAGATATCTGATGGATTTATGCTTGATGTAGATCCACCATCTCCAGGGATAGTCATGGATGGACTTGGTATATGATAACTGTGATATTTTGCCAATTTATAAAATCAGTGACATGTGCCGCTTCTTATGTTTTAACTATTATTTAAGAAGTAGCATTTTTGAAAATTACTTACACTACAAATGTTTATAACTATTATAATAGATCAAGAAGCATGCAACAATTAATGTCATATCAATATCATTACTTAGAATATTAGCTAGTATTGTTATGTTCCCATTTAATTCTATTATGTAAATTTTGTTGGTTTCATATTAAATTATAAACTTTGAATAGTCAAAATCATCATTTCTTCATGTTTAATGTGATATTATATATGCGCGTACTTTTTTAGTTTTACTAGACAAACACGCTACAAGTGGCACCGACCGAGTACAGTCCTTTTGGCATGGATTCTCTGATACCGAATCTGGTATCAAAAACTATGAATACTGTATTTCCTCGGGTGATTTACCAGGGGAATGTGATATTAAACCACTTTCACCAGTTGGTATTGCAACAAGTGTACAGTTTTATCCTGAAAGTCCTCTAGAACATGGTAAGTTTTAGTTATGTATCAGGAATTACAATTGATAGCATCAAGACATGTTCATTACCTCCATTCTTTCAAATTCGAAATGCGTATTAAAGTCAGTTTTAACATAACAAGCTCACGTTTTAATGAAAACTACATATTTTTAGTAATTCATTTCATTTATTTGGGTTTTGCTTGAAACTGACACAGTAGAGGTCTTTTGGCAATGTTCCATATGTAGCTTGCCCCTATGTGCCCTTTTTCAGGTACGAACGGGTAACTGAGTATAACCTCCGACATACAATAAACTAGCTGGATAGCCACCTTACATTTTAAGATCCAAAGTCCCTGGCGGGAAGCGAACCCACAATGTTGAACGGCCCGACACGTACTGCAGTAATGTATGACATTTTATTCAGTATACAGTACTTTAATAATTTAGGTGGCATTGTTCGAGGGGAGGTAAGGGCTCGTGATGTTGTAGGACACGTGTCTAAGCTTGTGTCTTCAAATGGCGTAATAATTGACACGACAGCTCCTGTTAGAGTAAAGCGCATTGAATGTCAACCAAATTCCTTATCTGACGCATCTTTTGAAAATATTTTGAACTTTGAGGCTTATTCTACAATATGTGATAATATAACAGAATCACAGTGGGATTTGGCTCGAGATACTTGCGTTACTCTCGAGAAGTCAAATATGGCACAGCACGGATCTATAAAACTACATCTACAGGGTTCGATCTCACAGAAAGTTGATACCAAAACGCAAGGCAAATACAGGTTATTTTATACTGTATCATTAATTGCGTTATTTTATTTTTAAAAATTTTACGTCATAACTCCACAGCATTTAAGAAATATTCAATGTAAGCTTACATTGCTTGTTTGAAAGTCCAGTTTATTTTTGATATTGTTTTGTACAAAACAAAAATACTCTGTTTTTCGTCTTTAACATTAAAGGTAATATCATTGGTAATATGTTCTTGCAGACTGGTGTTCCATACATCAACTATACCATCAAAAATGTTGCACCTATCAGCTTTGGAAGGTTACACCCAGGTAAATGAACAAAGACACGTGTTCATGATGTACAGCAAGCCTAACACTGATACATACTTATGGCAGAAACATGTTTACTATTTCCATTTGGATACAAACACATCCATGGTACAATTTGGAACTGTACAAACAAATTCCGCTTTTGCTATAGACGGGATTGAGTTTCAACTTTGTGAAGTTTCTACGAATGAAACAGACGAGGCAGACGGACATGTCAACATTCATACAGTGTTCGTTCATGATTGGTCATCAATTCATGCGGAATGGTCTTTCATCGATCCAGAAACTGATATACTTGAGTACATGTGGGCTATTGGTAATATTTCAATTTTAACATAAATCTTGTCGGTAATATTGTCAATGTTGAATTCTGCTTAAGCCGGTGCTACGATTGTGAAAAGTGATTTGTATTGACTACTGCCGTCCATGAATAGCCTCAATCTATAATTTGCTTTGTTAGTGAACTTCAAAGGTTGTCATTTTTTGCATTCCCTTGAAATATGGTTTATAATTTAACAAAATCACTTGGGGGATTTAATCAACCTTTCTGGTCCTTCGGTTCATTAATTCTAATACCTTAAGTGTTGAAGATCGAATGCCAGAATGCCAATTAAGCGGTTGCAGGAACGTTGGTGATTTAATTTCTTTTTACTCTTATGAACAAACATAATTTTAAAGTTTTCTTTTGTTGGGGGATCTCCTTGTTCTAGACATAAATTCAATAAAGCATTTTAAGTCTGTGACAAAATATATTTGTATATCATTTGAAAATCCTTTATACATTAATATTTATTGTATTCCTTGTGTAATGTTTGCAATTGTATGTTGGTTTATTTAATATTTCCTTCAGGAACTGTTAAGGGCGGTACTCAGTTACAAACATTTGTTAATGTTGGACGACAAACGTTTGCTAGTAACAACACTCTTAGACTGGAACACGACACTGTGGTATATATAACAGTTATTGCAATCAATGCTGCGGGACTACGTACGGTGAGCTACTCAGATCCAATTATGATCGACCTTACAAAACCTGAATGCCAGTTTGTAAATGATGGTCCTGTACTTGGTAAGTTTGAAGGTAAAATGCTTGGTACTGATCAAAAAAGGATATTATTAGTCTGCAAATAAACTGTTTTCTAAATACTCGTTTTAAATACTTTTATATACGAATAAACTACTTTTTACGTGTTGGTCATTTGTTTTAAATTTCATAATAGTGTATAGATGTTTTGTTCTTAGACTAAACGATGAAAATTTCGAAGCTATGCTTAAGTAATGTGAAATGAGTTAGTAATTTTAAGATTGAAATGTCTCCTTGCTTTTTGCTAAAACTAAGAATATTCAAGATGTAAATTTTAAAATTAATAATTTTAAATTAGTTCAATATCATGGTAGGGTTAACAGCCATTGTATTTGCAGGACAAGATTTTGATTTCATAAGAGGGCTTCAAATGGATTTCCATTGGGATGTATCAGATCCTGAGTCTGGACTAGAGACGTGTTCCTGGGCATTAGGTAGATACCAGATAAAAATGTTGGGCTTTTTATATAAATAATAGTGTCTTTTTCTCTTTCTTGTTCTTATATTTTATGTCACATTGAAGTTATTGTTGCTGTAATGTATTATTTGACGTCGCTTTAAACAATGTTTCAAAGTAATACCAGATGAAAGAGTAATCTACATTTTATAGGAGTTTCCAAGGGTGATACGTCAGTTCAGAACTATGTCACAATCAAATCTGATCAAAAGAATGCAACCAAACTTTTTACCAGTATACCACATGAAAAGATGTATGCTACTGTTAAGTGCACAAATGGCGCTGGATTAACGCATACATGTTCATCTGATGGGGTGAAAATGATTGAGGCACCCCCATCCGTTGATGATGTGATGTTAGAGCTCCTGACAACTTCAGCAACACAGTACGACTCCCGAGGTCATTACCATGGTAACAAGACTGAGATTCGGTTCCGATGGACAGGCTTTAAGTATGATGACGGCGTAGAAAGTTATATGGTACATTTCATTATTACAGTTTGTTAAAATATCAATGCAAGTCACTAATGTTTAATTTTCCATAAAATGCAGAACACAATATGTTTACCAGTGTTAATATTTATAATTAGTAATGTTACTGGCAATGACGTACGCTGACAAAAGATCTATAACAATTCTTATGTGTTAAAGATTGAATACTACTTAAGCCGGTGCTAGGTGGCATTATATATTGAACTTTTTCATTATCTCTAGGAACAGACTCAGTCGAACAGCGTCTGCAGTTATCAAAATATTTATTTATTTATTTATTTATTTATTTATTATTTAATTATTTTCTTTTTTACTTATTTTATTATTTTTTTTATTACTACTACTACTACTATAATTATTATTATTATTTATTATACTTTTTTATCATTGCTCTCTTAATCGCAATGGTTCTCCCTTATCTAGATTTTAAAGTAACTTGTTAATATTAATGTTTTTTAAGTGATTTTAGAAAACAGGTTATATTTTTAGATTGCCCTTGATGGAGAAAATGTGTCGGCGTCAGATATTATAGAAGGTTCATCTTCTGGCTACAGTTATGCAAAATTCACAGGACTTAACATGATGGACGGAAAATACACTGTATCTGTTACTGGTATAAATGAAGTTAAAATGTACAGCCAGAAAAGATCCAGCTTATTCGATTTAGTCACTGTTCCACCAAGTCTCACGGGTAAGTATTTGCGACTATTGTTAAAGTTCAGTATTGGAGAAATATTTCAAAATTGGTGTATTACTGGTATGCGTTGGACAGTCATCAATCGCTTACTTTCCTTTCAATTTTGTAGCATTTCCATTTTGATTTTTCTCTTTGTAAATGAATTATTTTTTGTTGCTGTATTGTTTTCTTGTTGTTTTCATCCAGGTTATAACTGTTTTCCCACTTTTATTGATTTCAGGATCACAAATTAAGACAAACTGGATAAAACAGACATCAACAGCCTCTGCGTCATGGGAAAACGTATTTGTTTCAAGTAATCCCCTTTACTTTGAAGTTTCGGCAAGGTTGGCAGAAGGTGGAGAAGGGAATCTCGTGCAGTGGCAGGAAACAGTTGATACACGAATTGAAATAGTTCTAGACACGAATGAAATGCCTTCTGCAGGTGTGATCGTCCGATTTTCTGTGCGAGCAATATCGCATGTTGGGTTGTTTACGACTGCACATGGCGAACTCTTTGTATTGCCTTAACACTCAGTGGTATCATCCGGAAATGTTTTGGTTTCATTTCAGATTTGAAACCATGTACAAGTGATATGAACTCAGATAATTCATAACGATCATTGAAATAAATGGTGGAAACAATTATTTAGATTTTTTAACTTTTTTTTTCTTCTTTTTACCTTGTGTGCTTAAATTTTTTTATTTTTAGAAACAATGTGTGTAAAATTGTATTGCATTATTGTATATAAAAGTAGCATAAGCAATCTAATTGAAAGTTTATTGTCTTATAAGACATGCTTATTTCGTGCATTCGTTATCAGTGCCTTTGATGCATGTTACTTCATTATAAAGTGAATTGTTAGTAAATGTAATTTTTATTCCTTATCATATTATATTTTAATCTTAGCGTTTCAGAAATTGAAAAGAGACCATTCTGGTTAAAGTGGTTGTGTTTTGGTTGCGTTTTAACAAAGCAATATTTATTGCAATATGATAAATATGTTTTTAAAAAGTCCTTTGATTAATATTCAATAATTGTAACGTTTCCAAAGTTAAACTCCAAGGCTTTCATACTTTGCTTTTTCTGCTTTACGGTGTGTTTTCTTTGATTGTATATTGTAAATATAACAATACATGTAGTAAAAAATAAAGTCTTTGATCAGTTTTATACGTTTTTTATCTATTATACTTTTATGACATACATAAATTTCACATAAATACACTCATTATATATCAATACATAATTATATCAAATAACTCGCATCATAATAGTTTTGTATTTATAAGTTTTCTATCGCAAATAAACCAGCAGTCATAGTCAAACGGAATACAGAAATGCTCGCACAAACCACGGTGATAGTCCATATAGAGGGTTTTATCGCAAAACTAACCACGACAACCCACGGTGATATGTTCCTTTTAGAGGATTCTTATCGCAACTAATCCCACAGTGATAGCGTGACTGGATACAGTAAAACTCATACAACCCACGGTGGTAGGCCTTTTAGAAGGTTCTTATCGCAAAAACAAACCACGGTGATAGCGTCAGGGAATATAGTAAATCTCACACAACCTATATGGTGATAAGCTTTTAGAGTGTCCTTATTGCAATACAACACTTAGTGATAACCTCGGGGAATATTGTAAAGCTCACATAACCCACGGTGATAGGGATTTTAGTCAACTTAAGCCACGGTGATTATCTTTGTGAATACAGTAAAGCTCACGCAACCAACGGTGAACGGCCTTTTGGAGTGTTTTTATCGTCAGTGAATACAGTAAAGCTCACCCCCCCCCCCCCCCCCCCCGGTGATAGGCTTTTTAGAGGGTTTTTGTCTCAAGTCAACCCACGGTGATAGGATCGGGTAATAAAGTAAAGCCCACGGAACCCACAGAAACTGTTATATGCCTTTTAGAAGATTTCTATCTCAAGTTAACGCACGTTGATAGTCTCAGGGAATACCGTAAAGCTCTCGCAACTCGGTGATAGCGTCATGGTATACTGTATTTAGCTAATGGAAGCTAGTTGAACCCATAGTGATGGACCTTTTAAAGGGTTCTTTACGCAAATTAACGCACAGTGATAGCCTCGGCTAATACAGTAAAGCTCACGCAACACACGGTGATAGGACCTTGAGAGGTTATTTCCTATTTCCTATTAGTTTGACTTCCTGTAAATTTATGCAGGGAAAACTGAATACAGAAGAGTTTTCAATGATCATTTTAAAATTACAAAATGCAACCTGGATATTTCATTGGCCATTTTAAGATAAAATATATTGGATATTTCTTGTCATTTTAAGGTAGTTCTAGGTTTGTTCTTGCCATTATAAATAAAATGTATAGGACAGTTCTTTAACTTTCAAAATAGCGTCAGGTAATACAGTAACGCTCATGCAACAAACGGTAATACGCCATATTTAGAGGGTTCATATCTCAAGTTAACCCACGGCGAATACAGTATTAAACTCACGCATCCCACGTGTGATAGACTCTTTAGAGGGTTCTTATCTCAAGTTAACGCACGTTGATAGTCTCAGAGAATACCGTAAAGCTCAAGCAACCCACAGTGATCGATATGCCTTTTAGTGGTTCTTATCTCAAATTTACCCACGATGATAGCGTCAGCAACTCAAGCAACACACAGTGAAAGGCCTTTTAGAGGGTTTTAATACATTTTGTATATCAAGTTAACCCAGTTACGGTGATAGCGGCATAGGTATGACATTTTTTAAAGCCTTTTAGAGGGTTCTTATCTGATGTAACCCACGGTGATAGCCTCACGCAATACATTAAAACTCACACAACCCACGGTGACAGACCTTTTACAGGATTCTTATATGAAGTTAATCCACGGTGATCGCCTCAGGAGAACGGAATACATGTAGGGGCCTACTTGCTGACCCAAACTCCTCACAGTGATTACCTCCCTTGGCAGAATTAAGGGGAGATCACTGTGTGGAGATTGTTGCTGACCATGATATAATACGTAAGTCTGACCTTATGGGTACAGTCTAATCGGAAGTCTTCGGCTATTATTTGTACATGGAAAGGGTCAAGAAGATGCGATTTTGGTGATTGTTCTAACGGGCGTGCTAACACTGTATTTAAAATAGTTAAACTATTAAACTGTGTTTGAATGGTTTTTGTTTTACATGAATGATATTTGGATGTAAAAATTTATGTTTGTAGCATGGTTTATAGTTCTTTTTTGGAATTGATAGCTATTCGCCCTACCAACGATTCGCCCCATAACAATTGTGGGGGCAGGGGACCTAAAAATGAAAATTTTTGTATTTCAGTGTGACCAGAAACACAATTCCAAATATTTCAAAATAAGTTTCACAGGCAAATAACCAGTTGCACAGCATTATTCAATGATATATGACATACATTGAAAAAAATAATAGTTTGCATGCATTGCTCATTCAAAATATGACTGACAGCAATTTATATTTACCCCCACCCAGCCAAAATCACACCTAAAATATACCAATATGGGCAATCTTCATGAAGGTGCAGCATACTCCAGAATCCGCCCGATTCCTTTAAAAATATCAGTAACACGCAGTGCAAGCTATGGCATTTTCAGGAATGACAAAGTGTCTGTCATACGTTTAGATTTTTCACAAAATTTATCTGAAATTTCTTACTTGTTTGGCGCCAACTGTCAAAGCTTGATTTTTAACTTTTTTACCTCCATTCGGAGAGTCAGAAATACATACAAAGCTACCAAAATGCTTAGTTTCGGGTAAAAACCCAAAAAAATATCTCATTTCCTACACACAAACAAGAAAGAATTACAATGACAGAGAAATATCAGAAGTTATCAGTACCTTCAAAAGACCATGTCTGAGTTATTAAAAAATTTGACCGGGGCCATCATTCGAATATGTCCCCTGCCCCCTGTATGAGCCATAAACATAATCAACAAGTTCACATTTTTATAAGATTTTTCCGAGGCCATGTTTGTCCATCTTGACAATGCCAAAAACACATAAAAAAATTCACAAAAATGTGTAAAAAATTCACAATTGGCAGGATTGCTTTTCAGTGCCAAACAAAATAAAGAACTGAAAAATGACAATCTTGAGAATTTGATTGATATATTTGAGGGAATAAAAAAAGGAAAGCTTAAACTATGAATATAATTCTTAAAATTTATGAATAAAGTGACTACACAATTTGACAGATTATCACACTAAAAATTCACAATTTCAGGGGTATGGGTTGTTGCCAAAAAAAGTTTAAAAAATCACTGCGGAGTGAGTATACTTTAATCTTTATAGTACATGTATTTGCAAATATGCTAAATTTGGATGGGAGCTAGTCCAATATATTAGACATTACAGGCTTGTTATAGTTTTTGTCGGTCAAGCCCGACATCTAATAGTTATTGCTCATAAACGCATAGCATCATAATTTTTTTTAAAAAGCCTATTATCTGGCCTTTCAAGCTTTTTTCAATAGCTTATCTTCTTTTCTTTTAATTTCATGCTCGGTCGTAAATAAAAACTCTCAAACAATGTACTTATCAATTTAAAATAAAATATAAACATCAATCTATTTTTGTCTATCGGCCATACTGGTTAAGTAAGGTGCTTTACAGATTGATGCCAAATTTTTGAATGGAAAAATATATTCAAACTTGCTGACGGTGCATGGGCAATTATTTCATTAAAAATAGTCCATAAAAATCTTCTGACTGACAGTTAAATGCTTGCATTTGAATTAGCCAATTAGATTTCATGCACTGTATGGCGGCAATTTGTTTATCAGCTGTATAAGGAATTTAATTACATGATTTTTCGGATGTGACAGTTTAATTATTTTGTCTAAAGGTATTTATTTTTTAGTTTTGTTCTTAAATAGGTCAAAATTAGTGTAAATACACAATGTACAAGCTGTCTTAATTATTTTTTCGTTCCGCCTGATTTTCTGTCGGTACGTGCTTTTTGAGCAATTTCAATATGACGTTGTTTTGCCCAGAAGCAAAACTACTATCTCAAAGCGACGTCATATTTATAAGACTACTTGAATGTTATAGAAATTATATGGTAAAAACAGGTAGTCCAATTTCAAACAAACTTGTCATAATCTTTCCTCGAAGTTGTTCAAAGAATTTGATTCCAGGCAGAAATCTGGTTGTCATGACAGCCAAAAGGAATTATCAGTCTAAAAACCCACAAGGCCTTGAGCTTAGATATTTTGCATTTAAGGCATTGTCTGATGGACCTCTACCAAGATTTTTCAAATTATAGCCCTGGGGTCAAAATTGGCCCTGCCTTGGGGTAATGTGTTTTCCTTATATATACAACATTTGTGGCGATGTATGGTCATTGAATATGAGTTTTAATATATTTTTAGAATGGGAAAATCCAATTCAGTGGATGAATATGAAAATTATGATACTACATCCAGTGAATATGATTATAAAAGTTCTGCTGACAACTGTTTGAACCAATGAGATTGCAGCTATATTTAGATCATATAATAATCTTTTATATTGTTTAATTAAAAGGTTGAAATTAAACATGTTTTCTTCAGGTTAAAGCTCAAAGATGAGAAATATCCGACCAATTCCAAAGTCATATTCAAGGAGTTACTCTTCTGGAGTTACATTGGGAAAGTGGTTCTTGATAGCTGAGTTTGGACTGTTTCTGTATACATACTCCATATACCGCAAACTTAACCGGAACCAAGGTATTGACTTTTAGGATAGTTAATGAATATACATGGTCACATTTGTCAGAGAGGATTGATATATAAATCAATATTAAATGA